GAAAAGATCCCAAGGACTATGCAGACATGACTCAAATGCTCCAGAAGTAAGTTCAATCGATCATTATCGCACCATATAGGCAACTTTGTTCATTTCCTGATATCAAGTAATTATTTTCTTTGTCTGACAGGGTTTGGAAAGAGTTCACTGTAATTACTCGGGACTGCCGAGCGAGCTGCGATTTACACACCCAAAAGTAAGTACTACTACCTAGTTCCGCGCATCTCCCATTGATTCTAGATAGTTTCATCAATACCATTTAGCATGCTTGCTTATCAGTTTGGTTGACCTCTATTTCTTGTAAAGTGCTTGTGGCAGGAAGGCGGGAATGATTTTGGTGGATACTACGTTTGCGAGTTCATCCGCCACTCGACCTGTGAGCGGGGCTACTCTGAAAAACAATATGAAGTGCGTAAGCAAAAATATTCACAATTTTATTTTATTACCATCATTTGTGTTGAGTTTCATTCATATACATGTATTGACCCTCTTCTTCAATTTAGATCTAGCAGATGCGGGATGAACTCCTACCACAAGATCACATACGAGCAATTCAAGAGGAATTGGCGGGATTCTTTCTTGACCACGTCATCAGTAAAGCCGGAGAATACCATGTGAAAATTGATATAGACATGAGATGTTAGGGATCGTAAGAGATCTTATATTGTATATATGTAGCTAGTAGCGTCGGATAGATATACGGAAACTTGTTGTTCGACAAATCTCTTAGAGAAAGAGAGGTGCACTCCTCTCTATATATGTTCATGATGATCTTATGTAACTAATGGTTCCTTCATTTTCTTACTAGCTAGCGTGTTGAGTTCTCTCTATATGTATAGTAGCTAGCATCGACCAAGTACGGAGATAAGAGAGGTCACTTCTCTCTATTAGCTAGCTAACACAATATATGAAACCCCTAAATTAACCCTCCAAAACCCCCTAACCCCCCCCCCTTCAAAAAAAACCTGCTCCTGCCATATGCTGACGCGTGGATGCCTTTTGGTCCCGGTTGGTGTTACCAACCAAACACCAACCGGGACTAAAGGTGCTCCTGCCTGGGCGCCCTGCAGCGGCCACGTGAAGCCCCTTCTGTCCCAGTTCGTAAGCGAACTGGGACTAAAGGTTTTGGCCTTTAGTCCCGACCCTTTAGTCCCGGTTCCAGAACCGGGGCTAAATGGGCCTCTGGAACCGGGACAATGGCCCGTTTTCTACTAGTGCAACAGGAAGATTTTGTGGCGTGGCATTTCACTAAGAGTTATTGTTTCTCAGTAAGATCAGCTTATTACATAGAGTGGGAACACCAGTTCGGATCGAGGATGAGGAGAGAGCCAGCAGAAACTTCATCACATAACCCTGTTTGGGAGATCCTATGGAAGCTACAAGTTCCGAGCAAGATAAAAATCTTTGTATGGCGTGCCCTACATGGAATCATACCTGGGGTTGGTTTATTGAGAAATAGCATCAGAGTCTCTCCAGAATGGCCGATCTGTCATTCAGGGCCGGAAGACATACGTCATCTCGCCTTCACATGTGCACGGGTGCGACAAGTATGGAAATCCCTGGGGCTAGATGATCTCATTGATTCTACTCTTCTCACAGATCACTCGGGTTCGGTCGTATTGGGAACTACTCAGGATTCCGATGAAGAAATCTCCGGTCTTGGGACAACTCGGGCTCCAAGAAACCATTGATGTGGGAGCATGGTACATATGGTGGGAACGTCGTAAGGCTGTCAAGGGTCGGATGGTTAAAACTACAGCGAGCACTTCTTTTGCAATCCAAGCTATTACTATAAACCATGCAGTTCGGCCAAACACAACAACTCCTGAGGTAAGATGGCAACGCCTAGCTCCAGGCTGCTATAAACTGAATGTTGATGCATCTTTCTTTGAGGATGGAAGCGGAGCTGCGGCGGCGGTCTTGCGGAACCATCGAGGAGAAGTTGTAGCGGGGGTATCAGAGTTGATTGATAACACACTTGATGCACCGTCCGCTCAAGCCAGAGCCTTACAGATGGGTCTGCATCTGATTGATGGAGTTGGATATCGTAATGTCCAAGTGGAGACAGATTGCCTTGAACTTGTGCAAGCATGCAACGGGGAGACTGGAATTCTGAGCCCTTATTCAGCTATACTTGCAGATTGCTTTCACCTTGCTCATGGTGTCCCGGAGATATCCTATAGACGACGTTGTCCTAGAGAGCCAAATAAAGTTGCACATTTCTTAGCTAGCCATTGTTATGATTCTAAGATTCGTGAAGAGTGGATAGATGAGATGTCCTCCTTCTTACCACGTGTACTCTTTGATGTAATTCTTCCCCAAGTTGAATAAAATGCCAGAAGACCTTTCCTTCAAAAAAAAGTGTGGGAGCTTTTCTTGTGTGGAGGAGGAAAGAGAAAGCGTAGCCTTTTTTTCCCGACAAGACTTGTGATGTACTCCCTCCGTAAAAAAATAGTGATCTAACAATCTTACATTTCTTTACAGAGGGAGTAATATGTAAGGCATTCACTCGCATTCACTAAGGATAGACTAGCGGTTTAATTAAACTTGTCGTGGCCAATCTAGTTTATCTATGGTGCATAATTTGGGGAAACGGCCTTCCCCGGAGGACTCGTCATCCTCGTCCAACCCATCGTCATCCTTTCCATGGCGCCAGGCTGCTCAGGGCTGTAAAGTTTTAAAAGGGACTTTTTTCTGCTCTACCAATTTCAAACAATAAATGTGGTCATTTTTTTTGTTGTTGTTGTTGACACTAGACATGCACAATACATGCAGTCTGATTTATTTTTTAGGATCCGGTTAGCAATCTCAAACCTTGAAATTGATTTGTTTTTTCGGCAAAAGAAATCTGCTACGCTGCTCAACAAGATCGGTCGGCTAGATGCAACGTCTTTCCAGCCAGTTTCTGGTTTCATGCTTGAGAAATATGCTACGCTGCTCAACAAGATTGATTCATATGAATGTGTAGAAACTTTTTCAGAATTTTTAAAACTTCAAAATATGATTATCAAAATTTTAAAATAACCACCTCCATGGAGGTGATTATTTTTTAAAAAAGTAAAAAAAAAATCCTATTTTGAAGTTTCGGAAAATTCTGACAAAAATCATACATGTTCATATGGATGTATTCCACATGTGTGCAATTTTTGAAGATGATAGTATGTTACAGTGAGAGCTACACAAAAAAGACGAAATCACGATTCGAAGCTGATGAACAGTATAAACACTGTTCATCATTAGAAATGCAGGAATTCTCTTTTTTGTGTAGCTCTCATAATAATGTATTTCATCGTCAGACTTTATACACATGTAGAATACATCCATATGAATGTGTAGAATTCTTTTCATAATTTTTTGAAACTTCAAAATGTGATTACCGATTTTGTCAAAATAACCAACTCCATGAAGGTCGCCCGCCAAAAGCCCGCACTCGCTAGCTAGCGTCTGTCACGCCCGTGACTACTCGTGGACGAATCAAGAGCTAGCTAGCATACGCTCCTCCTCCCATCTTTCATGTGGCGAGTCTCGGCCCACGGGGTCCACATCAACGGATCCTAGGCGCTCACCAGCTCTAGTACTATTTTACATTATTAATTATAAGAAACCCCTTATCATACTTTTATTTCAAAAGGGGGCATATAGATTTACGATAAACCACATAGAATTTGTAAACTTCATATATATCACCCATTGCAGTGCCACGACATTTCAACTATGGTTCATCTCTGCAATCCTAATGTGTTTCCCATCAGGGTTTTTTACCAAAGAAAAGGGATAAACGCAATAAAAAGTAGGCTTAATTAACTTAATAAAATAGCTGAACTGTGTAAGTTCCAAGTAGCATCAACATTGGGACTTCACCAAGGGGGCTTGCACATTATTGTTACTTCAAATACCTTAGTGTTCTTGAATGATCTGCATCTCAAATTTACTTGGTGCCTGTGAGAAAGATTCTGATAGAAGAAGATGTAGTGTGATATAATCGTTAGAGGCAATAACAAAAGCACGTTTTAGTTGTGATGTTTGTGCCATGCATTGTGCTGGTTCAACAGATTTTTATGTTGCTTAAGCATGCTACTTAATTACTACACTGCAGTAACATCATTCATATCTAATGAAACACCAATTTTGTGTATTGATCAACATAATACATCTCAAGCGAGAGGTGCTGGCTGGAAGTATGGATGTCTCTGTCTTTTCATGATGTACCCCTAGTGAAACATGTGAGAGGTTGTGAGAAAGAAAGTAGGCCAAGGATGGGATCCCACATACACAAAGAGAAGTTTTTCCCCGTATTGGAGATCAATGTTACAAGCCCGGTGTCCTAGCTTTGAAGGTGTATCCAGCCTATGCAAGCTCAGATTCTTGGTCTGCGCATAAACATGGACAACTCCATGTCTCTGTGAGTAACTCAATAGCCAATGGATCTACTCCAAGTCCAAATCATAAACTTGGTCCAGTGCGAAGAATCTCGCCACTTACAAGCAATAAGCATCACTTTCCCGTGTCCTTAAGCAGTATGCATATAAGTTTATAGGCTGGGTGGCTGCAAGTGGCGCGATAGAATCTCCTGTGAATGGTGGCTTTGGGTTCACCATCGCGTTCAAAGAAAGGCATTGATATGCTACACGGTGGCGAACATCGGGAAATCTCACTACCGGTAGTGCAACAAACTTCAAGACTTGCAAGTTATGATGAAACACAAATCCACAAATATCAAACACTCCCAAGTAGCAGTCTTCAACAATGATACAACACTCGTGTGAAACCATGCATGTTTCTTAATTATGTACATATAATTAATACTGTTGTTTGTTGTCCCTCTTCAGTTGAAATAGCGGCTTCCTACTACCCAGGTAGTTGGGGCTTCATCGTTGGGAATAGAAGAACCTCCTGAAAATTCACAAAAAACAGTAAGTCGCTGGGCAGAGAAATGCTGTGTCGTGAAAAAGAAAAGAACTACAAAGAGGGGTTGGGGGTGTTGCACAAACGTTCATGTTCTACGAGTCCGTCAGAAGCATTGCGATCCGATCAATTCCCATCCCCCAACCGCCCGTTGGTGGCAAACCATACTCGAGAGCAGTGCAGAACGCCTCATCGAGCGCCATCGCTTCGTCGTCTCCCGATTGCCGGCTCTGGGCGGGAGCAAGGTTTTACAGAGTGGCACGCAGGTTTTCAGAAAACGTGGCTATAGAAACGTAAGCTATAGAAGGTTTCAGCAGCAAGTTTCGGGTTCTGGTTACATACCCTCAGCTGCTCTTCAAATCGCTGTCTTTGCACCAATGGATCATTCAACTCGGTGTAGGCATTGCATACATATCAGGAGGATACAGAAGCACCGGACTACAAAAACAAAAGCACCGAATTACGCTTTAGAAATTAGGGGGAAATGTGCAGCATTGACGCATAGTGTTGCAGAATAGCAGAATTTACCTCATGCTTGTTGATGAATAACTCAAATCTTTCTGTCAGTCCTGACTGAGTCCTGTGCCATTTGGCCAGTGGGCTCATTATCTCTGGATGATTGATGATAAAAGTCGGGTTCACACACGTGGCCTCCAGGAAATGCCCAGTAATCTGATACAGAAGAAACTAGTATGCTCAATAGATGTTATGGAATGTTTGGCTTAATAGATTATGATAAACTCAACAGAGAAATCATAAGTTGCAAGATAAGTTAAACAAGCCAAGTTTTAACAAGTACTCCCTCCGTTCGGAAATACTCGTCATTGAAATGGATGTATCTAGATGTATTTTAGTTCTAGATACATCCATTTTGGTGACAAGTAATTCCGTACGGAGGGAGTAGTTCCAACAAAGGCTGGTGTCCAGGAAACATGAATGAAACCTTGTCAAGCAACCGTGCTGTTGTTTGAGGCGGCGAGCATTTGATTCCATACTTCTCACATGTTGCCGCGAGGTATTTGTTAGCCTCGTCGCTTGACAAATCTAATGGAATGTCAAGCCCAGCGATAGATTTCAGTTCTTGCATCATATTTATCCTTCTACAAGAACATAGAAGCACGAAGCAACCCAAGTGAGCGAACAACTTAGATAATATCAAATCATATTTCACAGGTGCAGTCATGATGTTCAGAAACCATATTCATATCTACTACCTGTAAGGAGGTGTGAAATCGATCTCTATGGGAGGGTTATCAGTTCCATTCGCATGGTATTTTATCCTGGTACTACCAGTCAGCTCCATCACCATACCTGTGATAGTTACCAAAACTTAGATACACAAACATTTCATAACAATTCGACAGGCATTTCATATGACGACTTTTCTAGCCCATCCATGCAATCAAATAAAGAAAACTAATTCCAGTGGTCCATGGATGCATCACTTGAGTAGTACTTGCTAGCCTAAGTGCAACACCTAACATTCAGCACGGTCTGTATGGGCTGTAAACATGAGCCAAATTTATGTACTGCTAAAAAAAGTACTTACTCGACAAAATGGTTTCAGTCAGCTCCATCAGGTCATTGTAGTCTGCATAAGCCATATAGAATTCACATGTTGTAAATTCAGGATTGTGAGTTAAATCAATCCCTTCATTCCTGAATTTCTTTCCTATCTCATAAACACGGTCCAAGCCACCCACGACCAACTGCTTCAGATAGAGTTCAGGAGCAATTCTCATGTACAGATCCATGTTTAGTTCATTGTGATGTGTAACAAATGGTTTTGCAGATGCTCCCCCGGAAATCAAGTTCATCATTGGAGTCTCGACCTGGACAATGACCCCCAAGATGGGAAACCATTTAGCCAAATAAGAGAATGATTTTCTTAAAGAAGCACTTCAATGAGAATGCATAATGGTTCAGGACCCACCTCCAAAAAGTTGCGTTCATCGAGGAACCTTCTGATGAAGGAAATGACCCTGGATCGTGTTCTAAAGATATGTCTCACTTGATGGTTTACCATGAGGTCGAGATATCTCTGGCGGTAGCGAGTTTCCTGTAAATAGATGATAAATCGTTGGAACTAGGAAATTATGATCTAACATTTAAAACTGATCAATATTTAACACAGGCATAAACTCTTGAGTGACGAAACACAAACTGTTCAAATAAAATTTTCAAAATGGCATCACAAGAACAAGATAACTGAAGTATGCACCCCAGCAATTGATGATATGCAAGTATTAAAGCATTACTGCCTTACTGGGCACTATAAGGCTAACTAGTATGCTCAATAGATGTTAAATTTGAGATAGATGGATCCAACATTAATATTTTCAGGTAAAAATGGACTGCATTGTCTTATCTGTCCTCTTTTATGTGTCTTAGTGAGTACATACCTATAAGGCTGACAATGCACAGTGTGATCAGACAACATGTACAAATCCTAAATATTATCTAAATTATCTCATAAATAATTTAAATTCTGAAAATGATGTGGCGTGACAGGACGGTACTCCCCCGAAAAGGAAGGTACAAAAATTCTGAAGTGTGCAGACTTAAATTGGTGCAAATCGCCCTTGGTCGACTTCATATTCACGCCGTTCTACTTCTGGAGAAGTATGGGAGCAATTTCGCTAATAATGATTTTCTACACTGTATGCCACATGTTGTATCATTAAAAAAACATGAATTCATAGATGTTCAGTGAAATATCTAAAAATAGCTCTTAGAGTAGATTTGTTTGCCTATAAAGTACTTCTGTCCTTCCTTTCCTTTAGCCGAGGGATTGCTCTGGTTTGGTTGTTTATTTTCAGTGCTTGTCAGCAACAGCAACAGCAGTGGTGCTGTAATTTTTTGTGCTTTCTAGGTGTTTCTTGTAATACGAGTATGGCATCATAACATGGATCAGGAATATCAGTATAGTATCCTATCTTACCTTGCCAGCAACAGCAGTGCAACTCCCAGTTCTCTGGTTGGGTAACATGTGGAGGCACGGGGAGAGCAATATTAAATTTTCTGGCAAATATGCTAAGCTCGCCCCTGCTACTCCTACCTGATATGCATATCAAAATAAAGTATTACCATCCCAGGAAAAAATAGCTGAAAGGAAAGTCATCTTATACAGTTTGTAGTAACGTCATTTCGCAATCCTTAATATCAACTATAGTTTCAGTGAACAAAATATATATTATCGATGCAGTACAAGGTTCAAGCACGAGATAGTTTCATAAATAT